TACCCAAGGTACATATACACCAAGTATCAAAGCATTCAGGCTTGTAGTTTTCAAGAAGAAGTCGAAAAAGTAAAACATTGACACGGACGACAACGACGGACAATCACTCATATGATAAGCTCCGCTCGACAAAGTCGACAGCGGAGCTAAAAACAAGACGTCCGAATGAAATTGGTAGGGCAAAATTAGATTGTATGTCGCACCAAAGAGCTACGGAACCGCAGCTAACCTTCCATTATTTCTGAAATCGTGCTGCAGTACGATCACCTTTCCGTTTCTTGGTGCTGTCAGGGTTAGGACACCCATGGGTTTCTGGTTCTGAACACGATTTAGCGGTTTCTCCATCTCGTCGTGAAAAATACTCGTCGAGCAGTTGTCTGCTCCTTTTTGACGTAGTCTCCATTTTCAATAAATAAACAAATCACGTGTTTGATAAGGGCGACATGAAACCGTCCCATACTGAGAGTAAAGTCCGGGGTATCTTGAAACACATGTCGACTAAACTACGCATGTGCGATGACACCAAAATAACTTTAGAGTGGAAAAGTGCATTCAGTGGCAGTTCCGTGTTGATCGCGATCACCATGCATGTAACAATTGTTGCAATCTTAGAAGTAACGGGACATTGTTAAAATGGCAATCATTCAAACCGTAACACGCGTAATGATCACAGTCGAACCTTGACAATTAAATGAGGCGATTTTGTACAAAATGTGTTCGTAAATCCTACTAATAGATATTTATTTTGTTCGTAAATCTTGTCCAAATTTCGTAATTTACGACATTTGCGAGCGACAGCGAGAGCACAGAATAGGATCGTCAAACCAAAATATCTGTCTATCTATGACATGATGTATAATGAATATTTAAAATTTGAACATAATCAGTGAAAGCAAGTCAAAGATATGGCACGAGAACCACATTCATTTTGAATCTTATCTGAAAAACAAAATTATTTGCATCAAGGTCCCATAATGTCTAGTGTATATACCAAGTTTGAACAAAATCCATCTGTAAACAGCCGAGAAATGGTTGATTTTTAGGTTTTTTTAGAAAAAAAAAAGGCGCCATTTGGCTATCTTGAATCAGATCGTAAAACAAAATGATGTGCATCAAGGTCCTATAATGTCTAATGTATATACCAAGTTTGAACAAAATCCATCTGTAAACAGCCGAGAAATGCTGCCATTCAGCCATCTTGAATCAGATTGTGAAACAAATTGATGTACATATGTATAATATCATACACACGCACGCACACACACACGCACGCACCCACGCACGCACGCATGCACGCAGGCACACACACGGAGGTCAAAACATAAGTCCTGTTTTCAGACTGCATCCGAACGGGGACTAATAACTATTAATTTATCAAAAACATGGCCATGTCAGTTCAAAAATTCAGAGAATACATTTTTTGGTTAAATTTGTCTGTGAGACTGAGTTATCAAAATATGATTACCGTAAAAATCATATTTGAGGCCGCAGCTTTAATAGAAGCCGCAATATGAGCCGCACCCCAAACTTTCAGAAACCAAACAGCCACCACATATTTCAGAAATTTAATTTTAAATTATGGCATAATTTTTTGAACATTTCAATCTTTTTTGATGCCAGTGTTCTCCACAAGGGGTTTTAAGTGGGCGGCCCGCCCATCAAGTTTTACGGCCGCCTGGTAACTCTCAACACCCGCCCACCAACGTACATCCAGCTGAAATTATTTGTAAAAAGCTTGCATTTTTCTAAGCCTAAACAAAAGAGTAGTTGCCCAACCCTTTATTTTGCTAAGTGTTTCAAGAGTCCAGACATAAACAATGACCACTGGAAGTCTGCAAGCAGTATTCAAGGCAATGTGTCCATCGCCTGAATTCATTGTCGCCCGACATTGTTGCCACTTTAATATTGCTCACGATACGCAACTACAGTGGTTTCAATTTACAGCTGTATTTTTAATAATCATCTTCTGATCATGAAAGAAGGAAGTAAATACGAACGAAATGTATATGCACAGAAAATAAACAAATATATTAGCAGATTGCATGTAAACTCGAACAAAAATTTAAATTCTAGCCGTATTTACAACTTTCGCTCGATTTTCATCATGAAAACAGCATGGAGAAGGCAAACTAATGACCTTTTGGCCTACCCCATTCGACGATAACGATTTAGTATCTAAGTTGCATGGGGGAACAATGCATTCTGGGTGTTCATGTTTTGAATTTGGAAAGCAGTAAAAAAACACCAAATATGGCTGACAGATTAGTTTTTGTATTAGTATTTGTAATTGGCAATTGAATACATATTTTAGTTATCTTTTCCACATACTTTTTTTCAATTTACCGATTTTGTTATGTTCAATCTTTCGAGAACATAGCAGATTCTGATTTTGCTGATTGCTAGCATTTTTTCTTGAATTCCAAAACAACGTGTGAAAACGCAACGAACGTGTCGTGACCATACATGCATAAATGTATCGTACCGTCCATCAGCACAGTGAGTACTGATGCCACAAATAACAAGCAGCCTATCGCTGAGATAGCTCCGCTGTTAGCAATGCACATTTCAATTAAAGAACTGAAGACATCATTAGAAAATGAACAATATGTATAGTATCAAAGCAATCGGACTATTGGTTTTTAACAAGAAGTCGAAAATATCACTTTCTACCAAAAATGACAAAAATATTCACCAAAATT